TTATAGTCTGAGATAGCCTATGCAACCTAATATATCAAACATTTGGCAAAAACGTACAAGACAAGCAAAAAAAGAAGTTTTGGAAATCCTGACCTCATTGAAAATCAACTTTCCAATGTCATATAAACAGATTGTACACTAATTTACAGAATACTCATTTCTAATATCTCAAGCTACTTTAATATACCTACCTACATATTTCACCTAGACAGGGTATAGTAATAACTCTCCAAAATTTATTAAAAATCATCATTAAAAATTACCTCAGAGAAACTGAAAAATAGCGGTATGGAGCCGGCCAAAAACGATCCCACAAGCATCACAAGGGACAACGTTATTAACATGGGCATTTCCTCCATCTTCGACACCTCTTATCACGCCTATATTGTCTAATTGAAACCAGAATTTAGACAAGCATTTTTTTGTCGAATAAGCAATTCTCTTGTTTACATTACTTATAAACTTATTGTTTTAACAATTTACTCCACGTAAACAAATTTCTAATTTATTTTCTTTTTGCCAACATTCAACAAAAGTATGACATTTGTTATAACCTAACTTTTGCATCAGCTGGTAATGACATTTTGCCATCAATCGGACAGTGGCGTGGCCTTAGGGCGTGGCGTACATAAAAGTTCTAATCCCTGTTCGTCTGTATGCACCTTAGCAGCCAGAGTGAATTTTATTGGTTGAAACTAGTTTTCTGAGTGTTTTCACCCAATGAAATTCGCTCTGACTGGTGACTATGATTTCTGTGAAAACGGACCTTTAGCTCCTGGGATTGTGGACTCGTTAGTTCCTGAGGGCCGGTTTCTCAATAGCGAGTTACCCCCGGGTTAAGCATAACTCCAGGGTAAACATTGCAACTGGACACGCTTACCCTGGAGTTAAAGCCAACCCGGGGGTGACTCGCTAGTCGGTATTGAGAAACCGGCCCTGAGTGGGGTAATTTGGGCGCACTCTGGGCATGTCCACTCTCGATTTCTGAACGATTCCAGCGTTATGCCTCATTCTCACTTGCGCGAAATTCGCTCTTTTCAGAGTTACTCTAGGGTCCCTCTCACGCCCAGAGTGCTATTTCTAAACGCCACCCTGAAGTGCGTTTGTGTGAAGGTAGAGTAAATAAAGTCTGTTTTTTTTTTTTTAAAGATAATTCCCCAAGTCAAAAATTTAGTAACTATGTTGGCAACACAAGCCTTTTCTACATAAAAAATTTGAAAGCATTGACAATTTTACATTGTATTGCCAACATAATGTCATTTTGACTTTTATCTTTAAAAAAAAACACACTTTAGTTGTTTGTCAGAGTGTTCTGACGTCATCACTTGGTGCGCTATTTTTGAACGTTTTGGGGCGTTGCGGTAAATGTCAAGAATAATCATGAAAGTAACCTTAAAATCACGTCAATCCCGGTAAAACCCGCGGGGCGTTTTTCAAACCAGTCCTGGGGTAATTTGGGCGCACTGCACGTCAACTCTCGATTTGAACCCGGCTCTGGTTAGTTGTATTCCTGTCACACCTAGGAGGAGCTCCGGAACAGCTCCGGGGCTTCACGCGCTTATTCCTTTCGAAAAGTGTTTGTTGCACCACGCATCTGTTCCCTACAAATCGGGGGTGACTGAACACCGAAGCGAGTAGCTCGAGTGTTTCAAGCTCTTGAAAGGAAAACAACTGTTGACACTTCTTATCAATTTTGACGTTTGTTGTGAGGTCAAAATGTCAATTCAAAGAATCAAAACAACAACTGACAACACAACTCACTACTCAAGGTGCAGGCAAGGATTTTATTTTTAAGTATTTGAAAAAAGTAGTTTTTTTTTTAACAATGAATCACTTTCATGTGCAAATTTAGAATAATATGAATTTACAAACCCTTCTTCAGGATTTCAACCCAAGGTAAGTAGATTTTCCTACGTTAATAATTGATAAAAACTGCCAATTGGATGTCCTTCATAGTCCTAGTATATTATGGTTTGCATTGTTTGCTTTCTATTAATCTATTTTTATGCAAATTTAAATAAAGCGATAAAGAAATTATCCAGAAACTGCAAAGCTATGACTTCTTTATACCTCCTGTTTAGGGACTTTTAAGCTGACTGTACAGACTGAAAAATATTGATACAAGTTCCAAGAGAATTATTGTGTGAAACGGCAAAGCTTTCAAATAACAGCATTTTGACTCATCACACACACAGCAAGTTCTAGCCTTGAGAATTGAATATGCAAAATTCAATATTCAATACTGTTCCTTTATGTTTATAGACTTTGCTGGAATTTGCAATGCGGAGTTGAGAATCTTACAGAAATTTTCTAATTATTTTACTTTCCAAAGACATATCAAACCAAAAAATATTTAGGCTCAATAATTCAAATTCCCCTGATTCACCAAATATTTATTTTCAGCAAATTTATAGTACACACTTGCCTACTAATCTTCACTATATTTTTTGCCCTACGTTTGGATAACTACATTACTTGGTCATATTGGACAGTATTTTCACCGATATGGGTTTGGAAAGCATTGGTTATCTCTGGAGCTACCATTGGAAGTTATGTCTGGTGGAGGTACCCACATTTTAGGTAGGTTTATTTGTATGCACTTCTACTTCATTTGTGCCAGTTGAGTTTTGCTCGATAAAGAAATGAAATGATAACTAAATATTTATGGCTCGATTTATGGTATAGTTTCTCAACTTCAACTCATTCAAAGAACAATTTTCAGGATAATTCATCAGATAACTCAATTAAATAGAATACAAAATTTCAATGAACAATCCCATTGGATATTATTCAACAAACTTTTCTTACTTCCTGGAAAGTGTGCAGAAATTAAAAAATATATTCCATTCTAGTAAAAAGTTTTTTTCCGGGCTATAATGCCGTGGTCCATTAGTATTTCTACCTAACGTTTCGTCTACAGCTGCGGTAGACATCTTCAGAGAATATATAGAATTCCCTGCTCTTGTGGATCTGTCTATGTAGGAACAACGAAACGCTCTATCAACACCAGGGTCAAAGAGCACAAAAGAAACTGTCAGCAAGGACAAATAGATAGGTCAGCAATTGCCGAACATGTCCTTACGCAAACAAACCACGTCATTAGTTTCGACCAGACTCAAGTATTGGATAGAACCAAACATTTTTACACCAGACTCCACAGAGAAGCCATAGAGATACAGAAACACCAAAACAACTTCAACAGAAAAGAAGAGGGTATGAACCTCAACAAAAGCTGGTTGCCAGTTCTCCGAAAAACAAAGACCCTTCCTTTCCGAGAACGAGACAAGGAAAATAGCCCAATACAAGCCACGCCCACAGCCCTGGATATAAATAACGCAGGCCCAACAACGTCGAATTCAGTCATCGGAGAAACACGGAAGAAAACACTTCGTCCTCTACCACACCGCCTCTGAAGATGTCTACCGCAGCAGTAGACGAAACGTTAGGTAGAAATACTAATGGACCACGGCATTATAGCCCGGAAAAAACTTTTTTACTAGATTTGACCGGCTGTGAAAGCCTTCATTCTATATTCCATTGTAGGTTAGAGGGTGAAGCCTATATCCACTACAAATCGATGCTAATATCACTAGCCTTACACTTAATACTTCTCATGTTTGAATTGTTAGTGTGCGATAAATTGGAATCTTTCAGACACTTATGGATTTTAGTGTTTATTCCTTTGATTTTTATCAGTATTGTTAGTATAGCAGTATGTATATGGGCTGTGAAACATGAGAGAAGTTTTGAGGTAAGAATTGTAATCTCTGTGTGAGCCAATATTAGGTATTTTCTTGCTTATCAGTAGAACATGTTATACATTTTCAAAGAAGTAGCAAAATAATTATTTTTAGTTGGAATTATTCTGTGCTGTCAACGTTCTACAATTTATATTCTTAGCTTTAAGACTGGATGGTTTCATAGGCTGGTCCTGGGAAGTAGTTTTTGTGCCATTATGGATAGTTATGTGTCTATCACTTGTAAGTTATTCAAAATCAATTCATCCTGATTATTTATTTGATAAAATTGTAGGTAGGAGTCTTGTATACAATAATATTTGCAGCAATTTTACTGAGAACGCCAGAGGTTAATGCACTACAAAGAAGAAGTAGCTTCCATTCAGCGTTAGGCTATACATTTTTAGTTATCCCCGTTCTAATTTTCCAAGTATTATTAGCCAATAAACTAGACGATGATATACAAATGTCTTTTACAGCAGTAGTTAGTCCACTTTTTATATCTTTTATCACATTAATACTGATGTCGTTCAGTGCCAAAGGATCAAATAAATGTAACTATTAAATTATTAAAAACATCAGAAACAATACTTACTGCTTGATAATTTCCAGGGTGGTTTGGCATAAGGAAAGATTTCTGTTCCTTTCTCTTAGGCGCATGTCCACTCCTACAAGAGTATGGCAACATTGCTTACCAACCAGAAAGAAGACAAACCGGTGTAGAATTGGAACAACAAATCGAAAAAGGTTCTATTATAAAGAAAGCGGACCTTATGAAGCCTGTATTACCAATCATTAGCATTGAGATGCCAGACTGAAATTATTAGCATTATTAAGAAAAAAATCATTGAAAATGAGTATTAATGTAGGAGGTTTAAAAAATTGTTACTTAAGTCAGTGCTAAATGGTACATTGAGTACTACTGACTGATACAATCCAGAATTTCAATTATTATATGTATATATTTTTTAGTTTATTGTTTAAGGAAACTGAATTGTAAGATTAAAAGAATTCAATATTTGAATTTTGTGATATCAATTATTTACATACTTTATTGGTACTTTTGAATGTTGTGTTTAATGGTATTAAATAATGACTTTTTAAATTGTTTATTATCAACTTCTGGCCCACTAATACAAAGTGAAAGTGGAAATACCTTAGAATTTTCCTCAAATTGAAGTTCTTTTTTTGGCCTGTTAGACTACTATAGTTGAGCATGGACGGAACAATAATTTGTATTTTGGGTTGTTAAAATACCGCAACTCATGTTACGGCTTTCTTGCACCATGAATTTTGATGATTTACGTTATCCTGGAGTTGGCATTGAATCACCACCTTGTTCACTATTGGACGCACATACTTTCACACTGCAAGTGAGAAAATGTAAAAAGATAGTAGCTTCATGCCTGAACAATTGTAAATTACTAAACTCTTATACTTATTTTGAAGATTAGTTAGGTCGTCAGGTATATTGGAATATTGTCCATTTTGTATGATGGTGAAGATTTTTCTAAACTACATAACAATAGTATATTACAATCCGAGACAGAAAATGCTTCATTGCTGGTCAAGAAGTTATATAGTTTATCGAGACGCGTAGCGTCGAGATAAACTAAACCTGAGACAGCAATGAAGTTTTCCTTCGAGGTTTGTATACTAAATATTTTATTTTCAACCCTCAATTTCGCAGGCGAAAGATTTTATGTACGAAATAATAGTGTAAATTGGCCTTAAAAAAATCTGTGTCAATGTTATCAATTTTGATAAAACCACAAGCAGGGAAATCGGGGACAAAAACGCATTTTCCGTCCGTGGCAGGCCGACCTGAAAAAATGCAAAATACAGAAATGTGACACTTTCAAGATTTTAAAAAGTCTGTAACGTGAACATTACATATACGGTTGAAAATAAAGCAATATTACTCTTATAATTTTTTTTTATTGAAAATAATCAATATCTAACAATAAAAAGATAACAACGTGGTCAACTAACAGCTTTCTTCGTGGAAAGTAATATTTTAATAAATTAAAAACAAAAACTATACAATTTTTCATTTGACTAAGAAATAAATAAACCCTTACAACAAAAATACAATGTCCAAAAATGCTTTCAAATGGTCCACAAAAACCGACACAGATAATCTAATAAACTTAAAATATTAAAAAAAAAAAAACTAAGTGGCTGTGTGCATATAAAACCTAAATTATGGTACCTTTAGATTTTACAGACCATAAGGAAAATCACAAAAATATGTATTTTATTTTGCATGCCTATTTCATGCATCATTTTTTATGTCAAAACTTTTGTTTACTTTTGTACTACTTGGCAGATCGCAGCAACTTTTGCTTCCTCTTACAAAAGTTAAAACTCTGTAACTTCTTTCTTAATAAATTAACTGAACTTTAACACTTGCTGAACATACATTCCCCTCAATTTTCTAAATTCTAATTAATCCTAATCGATGTTTTCCAAAGAACCGAGCTGCGATAATTTCCTGATAACTTCTGCTTTTTGGTTATCGTTTAGTTTTTCTATAATCACATCAATTGCATCTAGAGTCATATCAGGACATTCCTATAAACCAATATTGTTATGATTATATACACTATCACAGTGACATCTTATTACCTCTATCAATTCCTTAATCTGATTAAGCCCAGCGTCTTTTTTTACCGCATGAATATTTCGACTGATTATTGACATGTGTGCCGGTTTGCTCAATTGATCTTCCAGCCATTGATCTTCCAGCCAATGTACTACTACGTCATTTTTATCCCATTTGTAACCTTCAGATGCACCTTTATCCTCCACGAACCATCTTCTAAGCATATACTCGCCTTGGCCTAAAGCAATCTCTGGCTGCGCCTCTAGAAGGGCTTTTAAAACTCTGTCTTGTAACAAGAGTCTTCTTAATCTCCAGAAGAAATGATGCCGTGACTTTTTCCAAGCGACAATTTCCTATAAAATTATAATCATTAGTTCAAATGTTTTATAAGTTAGTGTTTAATCAAAACAATATATTTTTTTAAATTACAGGGGTTTTGAAATGTATAGCAACTGTGAAAGTATATGAGATATTTTGCAGGGAAGTGTGAAAGAATCTTGAATCTGAAACTTTCGATTTATAAAAATTTAAAAATCCTCAATAATTGAAGGAAATTTTTGTATTTAAATTAGTATAATTCTGATGTGATACTCTTAGCAACTCTGAGAAAAATTTGGACAGCAGTATGTTCAATTTCATCCTCTCAAAATTTCCTGTTTTTAAATTGTCAACTACTTATTCAAACTTTCCCATGTTCTTGTATCTTCACAGTCTTTTAGTTTCTTCCTGTCTCTTGCCTGTTAGAAACTAACTCCGGCACTTCTGTGTTCCTCTATTAGATTAATTTTATTTGCTTTGGTATTTTTCAAAAAAATTTAAGTGCTTGAAGAACTGCAGGATTCACGAGAGAAAAATGTAATGTAAAAATCCGTAAGAAAGTAACTATTGGGCACAGTGTTGCCACCTGCGGATCAACTATTATAGTATAGAACGTTATAAAATTATAGTACATTTGTACAAATTATAGTATCCTGCTGGAGACAGATGACCACCAATTGTCCTGGTGGGGCACACAGAAACTATTATGAAATTTTCAATAGTAATATAACTAGTGCAATGGAAATTATTGATAATTTTTGGGAAATTTGACCGAATGCATTTTTAGTTGAAAAAGAGCACGAGTGCCTTTTTCAGTTAAAAACGCATGAGTGCAAATTTGTCGAAAATTATAAATATATTTCCATTGCACAAGTTGTATTTAATGAGAGAATTTCATAAATCAAAAATTTAAATTTTTTGTCAAAAAATGTCAAAACACCAGTTTTCACACCAGTTAGGTGCACTAGTGCAAATTATCGCGTAATTACAATCTGATTGGTTCAAATCAACAATCAAAACATGTCAATTTATTGTTGAAATACCAGTTTTGACAGATGTATGAAATTCTCAGGACAAAACGAGAAAAGTCAGGGGCGTATCATACTAAAATTTCAAATTTTTCAAATGAAAAATAAACCTATTGGAAATTAATGAAAATCAACTAAATTAGTCATAAATGCACTTTTTAATATTTTATTTTTTTTCTGGAAAACTATCCAAAGGAAAATTATGAAATTTTCTAGACAAAACGAGAAAAGTCAGGGGCGTATCATACTAAAATTTCAAATTTATCCAGTGAAAAATAACTCCATAGGAAATTACTGTGAATCAACTAAATTAGACATAAATGATGCACCATTTAACATTTTATTTTTTTTCTAGAAAACAATCCCAGGGAAAATTATGAAATTTTCTGGAAAAAAAAAAGAAAAGACAAGGGCGTATCATACTGAAATTTCAAATTTTTCCAGTGAAAAATAACCTCATTGGAAATTAATGAAAATCAACTAAATCAGACATAAATGCACCATCTAACATTTTATTTTTTTTTTCTGGAAAACTATCCAGGGGAAAATTATAAAAATTTCTGGAAAAAAAAAAAAGAAAAGTCAGGGGCGTATCATAGTAAAATTTCAAATTTTTCAAATGAAAATAACCCCATTGGAAATTAATGAAAATCAACTAAATTAGGCATAAATGCACCATCTAACATTTTATTTTTTTTCTGGAAAACTATTCAAGGGAAAGTTATGACATTTTCTGGAAAAAAAGAAGAAAGTCAGGGGGGGTGTATCATAGTAAGATTTCAAATTTTTCAAATGGAAAATAACCCTATTGGAAATTAATGAAAATCAACTAAATTAGGCATAAATGCACCATCTAATGCCCGTATTACATCTGTGCATTTTTCCGTGTATTTATCCATGTAGTTCAGGGTGACAACCGAAAAACTTCAAACGCAACATAAATCAGCATTATGAACAACAAAATAATGTTGGCACCCTGAACTACATAAATAAATACATGGAAAAATACACAGATGTAATACGGGCATAATATTTTTTTTTTCTGGAAAACTATTCAAGGGAAAATTATGACATTTTCTGGAGAAAAAGAAGAAAGTCAGAGGCGTATCATAGTGAAATTTCAAATTTTTCCAGTAGAAAATAACCCCATTCGAAATTAATGAAAATGAACTAAATTAGGCATAAATGCACCATCCAACATTTTATTTTTCTTCTGGAAAACTATTCAGGGGAAAATTATGACATTTTTTGGAAAAAAAGAAGAAAATCAGAAGCGTATCATCGTAAAATTTCAAATTTTTCCAGTGGAAAATAACCTCATTGGAAATTAATGAATATCAACTAAATTAGGCATAAATGGACCATCTAACATTTTATTTTTTTTCTGAAAAACTAATGCAGGGGAAAATTATGACATTGTCTGGAATAAAAGAGGAAAGTCAGGGGCGTATCAGAGTAAAATTTCAAATGGAAAATAACCCTATTGGAAATTAATGAAAAGCAACTAAATCAGGCATAAATGCACCATCTAACATTTAATTTTTTTTTTGGAAAACTATTCAAAAAAAAATTATGACATTTTCTGGAAAAAAAGAAAAAAGTCAGGGGCGTATCATAGTAAAATTTCAAAATTTCCAAATGGAAAATAACCCTATTGAAAATTAATGAAAATCAACTAAATTAGGCGTAAATGCACCATCTAACATTTTATTTTTTTTCTGGAAAACTATTCAAGGAAAAATTATGTCATTTTCTGGAAAAAAAGAAGAAAGTCAGGTACGTATCATAGTAAAATTTCAAATTTTTCAAATGGAAAATAACCCTATTGGAAATTAATGAAAATCAACTAAATTAGGCATGAATGCACCATCTAACATTTTCTTTTTTTTCTGGAAAACTATTCAAGGAAAAATTATGACATTTTCCGGAGAAAAAGAGAAAAGTCAGGGGCGCATCACACTAAAATTTCAAATTTTTCCCGCGAAAAACAACAAAATTGAAAATAATTTTAAAAATTAAATAGGGGTGCATTCGATAACATCTTTTTTTGGTATAAAAAAAGTATGAAAAAAGGACCCGCTCAGGAAAATCAATGAAATTGACAATTGACAGTATAAACCCAGTCACCAAACAAAAAAAAATACATGCTCTATCAATCATACTAAGACGACAGAGCCTATTCAGCTAAAAAAAAAAAAAGGTGACTAGACCTTATGTCTAGTCATAAGGGCTTGCACGCCAACACATTAGGAAACCAATAGGATTAGGATTTGTTGTGTTAATAGAAAGTAGGATTAGGCAACAAATTAGGATTAAGAAGTGAATAGATTAAGGGCAGCCAAAAAATTAGGATTTAAAATAGGCTAAGGAGAACTGTAAAAAACTAAATAATTTGATAATGCATAATTATATAGTATTTTGGGTGTACTATAATGACCTTTGATAGTACATAGTACATAAGCATTCAATTATAGTACAAATACTATAATTATAGTACGGTTGGAAACACTGATTGGGCATCAGTAGTTTGTATGGTGTAACACTTACTAGACACAAAAACAAAACGAACATTAACTTGCAAATTCTCAAAATAACTTTAATGATGCAGTATTTCTGCATGATGTTTAGCTAACTAGTTGCAATATACTTACAGATATTGTTCCTTTTTCCAACATTCTTTCCGGAGTATCATGCAAATCAGCAAAATGAATAGACACTTGATGGTAAATGGGTAAAACAAGATTTTCCCTGTCCTTAATTTTAGATTCTAAATCTCTTAGTTCTTTTGGTCTTTCTCTTTCAGGTACAGGTTGAACTGGAGTTATACTAGAAGATCTACAAAAAGGAGAAATTAGATTATTAACTCAGTCTATTGATTTCCGAAGAATATATTCTCACCTTTCTCTCACTGGTTGAGTAGCTTGGAATGCTCTAAGTTGTTCGTCAAGGTCTTTTAAAACAGGATCTAAACGGTGCATGGTCTTGATAAGATCTCGTTTTTTGTATTTCACTTCTACAATGCCTTCAGGTTCAAGAACGCCACCTCTTGCTGTGGGATCAGAGTACATTTCCATATACCTAGAAAGAAAGATATGCATTTAGAATCATCCTATATTTTTAAAACATTAACTAATGATACTGAAGGAAAGTTAGGCGATAATTTAAAATGAAGCAACTAAATCCATGAAAACTTTCAACTGAAACATTATATAAACTGTTTTTATTAAAAATACTCCTCGGCCAACATGATATGCTATTGCACTAATTAAAATATAAGGTTTTTTATGTTTCTTTGCCCAAAGCAGGCATGGAGGTATTTATTGATGGTTAGGTGAATCAATATGGTTAAAACTACCTGATCAGGTTAGAAGGCAATGAAATGAACCAATTAGCTAACATGATAAAAAATTCTATAGATCACAGGTTTTAATTTACCTCGAGTTAATTGTGGGATCAACAACAGCCCATGCTCCTCCTCTCAGTTCTCCATTAGGTGGAATATAAACAATGATAGGCTGTTTGTATTGTCTTAAGCCGTCAACAATGTAGGCACCGAATTTCAAGATTTCTTCATACATATCTAGACAAACAGAATATAATAAACAAACAAAAATAATATTTATTGACTCACCTTTCATGCCCCCACTAAAACCTCTCCAATTAGCAAATATAAATAGCGGCAAGTCTTCTTTGGAAAAATCTTTGATAGTTTGAGCAGTCTTGTAAGCAGAATCAGGGAACCATACTGTAAAAAATAGTTCATATTTCACAAACAGTTAATTCAGACTACGAGAAAGTCATTTACCTTGACCTGCTTGAGATACAGTCTTAGCCTCAGAGTCTAAATTAGCAGGATCAGCGGGCAAATTGAGTTCAACCGTTCTGGTTTCGACTGCAATTACTCCCACAGGGATTCCACCTAATTTAGCGCGGCCAGTAACGACTGTTTGAGCCCAAGGCCGTAAAATTTCGTTCCACGAGCCCTTATCGAAAAAGCCCGATTCCCAAATGCCGGGATCTTTCGGAGATTCTCTACCCTCCAACATCCAGCGTGGATCGTAGGGTGCTTTCGTTGGTGTGTAATCGATGTCTCTGTCGATGGGATCGCTCGTTTTAACTATAGGAACTGGGGACATTTTGTCTTTTGGAACGTAGGATAGCCATTTTAAGATTGTGTAGATTCCATCTGAAATTTATATAAAATGATCCATTGTGGCTAATTCAATGAAAAAAACCACTTACCCAGATCACTTTGTTCAGTTTTATGTGTGATACCGTTATTATACATAATTTGGATTCCTCCTAATTGATTATTTGATGCATAAACTTCTTTACCGAGTACTTTATTTAGAGCATTGTACCTGAAGAAAAATCGGCATGTAAAAAAGTAGCATACTTCGTTACTTTCAATTAAAACTCACCCTGTTAATACTATATACGAATTCTCGATTTGTATCACCCTTTGACCTAATCTAACTATATAAGAACCTATACCGATTGCTCGACAACTGACCATTGAAATTGTTACTACTTCTTCATAAGCTGATGATGTTTCACCTAAATATTTAAATATTTTTTAGACAAATTACTTAAGTAATACTTCATTTTTACTTACCAGCTATCATACCAGCATATTTCAAATTTTCCACGCCCAAACCATCCTCTTTTCCTATAATATCAGTGATTCTATAACGAGATTCGCCTTCATCATCAATTAATTGTGCTCTAACCTATTTAAATTTTTAATAAAAATCAATTGCAATTATTGGTAAAAATAGTACGTACCGAATTGGAAGAACTAATTTTAGCATAATCTTCGGGACTCAAATACAAATATTTGAAACCCTTTTCAGGATCTTTAGGATCAATCCAAGAAATCTTGAACAGTTGCTTCACTTCTTCGGCCAAACCGATTCTGGCGCCTGAATTCACAGATACATATATCCTCGGGATTTTCAGTTTTCTTGCTAATTCAGAGGCTAATCCATAGACCTTATCCTCTCTGGGACCGAAAGATCCTATACTATACGTTATGTCGTTTGAAATCACAATTATATCTCTACCATCAGGATATTCGGGAGTGTAAAGAGTTAATTTCCAAGCAACCATTCCAACATTGTTTTCACCTAAAATGCAATGTTTTCAAATATAAATCATAATACATTTAAGCCGATATCAAAAAAAAAGTACTAGGAATGGTTTAAACTTAATACAAACAATAATTATCATACCTGCAACACGTTTTTGTTCTACTAATCGGGATTCGGTCTCCACGTCAAGTACTAACTCGACAAAATCCATTAATTTATCTGGAATGCTTACTTGCTCAGATATAAACTGTTGGCTGTATTGTTTCCACTGTAAATCGACCATTTGTCTAAACATTTCCGGATAGTCGTATACGTAGGTTGTGCCGTTGCTTTGTGCTTGGAATCTGGAAAAAATTATTTGCTCAGAATTCAGAAATATGGTTTTTTTGTCTGAAATTTTTTACTCACATTCAAAAATATGTAAGTAGACTAAAAACTAAATTTGTGAACAATCCAAACTACAACTACATTCTAAAAATCCAGAACATCTCTTACCGTTTCTGTTGTAAATAATCTTTGGCCAAGTATGGTGTGAAAATTGGTAGTCCATGCATCGGACCTTGTCGCTTTCCGAACGCCTGAAATCTAATTTCGCCCGATTCCGGATCCACCTTTTCTGTGTACATGTTTATGTCCAAATAATAGCCGCTGTCATTGGCCAGACAAAGACGGATCGGAGTCGTAGGTGCGTTTGGAGATGGTCGAATTAAAACTTTGATTTCGGCCTGTAACACGCGAAGCTTCCATAATCTAGGACCGTAACGTAGCACTGTATTGGTGACAGCTTCCTCGATTTTGGCTGGATCCATGATCACAGTGGGGATAAAGTTGAGGAAAATATGATTGCAGTCTGTTCTTTTCGATTGAGGATGGGAAAAGGCCACTTCTAGTTCGTCCATGGCTTCCAGAAGGACTCTTTCTCCTACGAACAATAATAAATATTAATTTCTTGGTTTGCAGTTTCCAAAATTCACCAACAAAATTTCAAAAAGTTGTAGTTTACCTTCATTTTGTAGATATTCAAACGATGCTTCTTTGGTTATCAAATCTGAATGTCTTATAATGCTTCTAATAAAAAATCTGTAATCAGTAACTTCTTTGCCTGGAGGCACTTTGGCTTTTCCTTAAAAATAAAAATAAATAAAATAAAATCAGCCTTTAAAAAATATCAAAACCTTACCTAAATACAAATGCATTTTTTGATTAGAAGTTGGCAAAGCTTCCAAATTATACGACCTCATTCTAGTTAATTCTAATTGGAATGCAGCTGCTGGCTCAAGATGTCGGAAAATCTTGTCCTCCTTAAAACCATCTCTGGCTCTAAATGTGAAAAATTTGGGAAATTGTTTGTGTTTTAACGGACTAAATGTGATCCGCCTAATTTTTCGACTTAAAAGTTCCTCTTTGTGTTTCGAACAGAAATTCAAAAATAATTTGCTCATAGTTGAATCGTCTTTGTCACCGTCATCCTTAATTCCGACATGCAAAATATGTATAGGCTCAAGGAAAACGTTTTCATCGATTTGAACTGCTCTAGGGCCGTCTAGTGATAAACTAACATTGATAGAAGTTGAATTTTTTCTCGATTCCGAGCCTGACTCTACCGCATTCAAATCTTTGGCACTTATGGTAGCAGGATTTGAGAAATCTTCAATTAAATCTAAAATTTCATCGGCATATTCTTCAAATTGGTGGAAGTTTTCGAACGCGGCCATGCAACCTGTCCTTTGGAATGTGTCCAAAATGGTTAGCTGTTCTGCTAAGAGATTATCTACAAAAAAAAAAAATCATAAATCATTTAAATTAATAGATATAAGGTTTATTTTAAATTTGCAGAAAATTTTAACAATAGGTACATTTTTGCACAGTTTTTTTGATACTTCATAAGGGGTTAGTAGGTACAAATGTAAAATCCAATAAGTATAAAGAGAACAAACAGAAAAACATCTAAAAGAGAATATCTTATGTTTAGTTAAAATTTGAAACGTTATGTTCTCTAACTCATACACATGTAAATTCCTTCCACTTCCAGAAGAAATATCGACTATTAGTTTTCAAATTATATTCAGTAGCATTTGGTGATGTGCACAAGAATAAAATAGCTTTTCTTAAGTCTGTAACTAATTACTTTTGCTAAGTAGCACTTACCATTATCAGGTACACTATTGATTAGCTTTGATAATCTATTGGGATGACTTGGAGGCAATAAAAATTGGAAATGTACTACTGGAATTTCTCCACTAAGTTCTAAATGCTGAAGAGTCACTATATCATAACTGGTGTAAGCTCTTCTAACATAAACCTAGATAAAAAAAATAATTACAAAAAATATAAAAAATAAAGTAAATGTATCACCTCTAAGGCTGCACCAGAAACCGACTTATTTGTATGGAAAAAGAAATCATGCAAAATATCATAAATAGACGTTTCTGAAACAATGAGCTTTTGTAAATTTTCTGGATGGAATTCGTGCCCATACATATCTACAGCCGACAAGAATATACTCTCCATTTGATTGTGACGTAGCTCGTATGCAGGCTGGTGAGCTGCTATAAGAACTTGACGAGCCCTGAAATTAATCATTATAAGCACACAAAAAAACACAAGCTAATATTTACCTTAAAGCCACTCTAGAATGTTCACTTTTGTTCAAAGAAGTGAGTTCAGTTAAAGCCGACGCTAATTCATCAGTTAATCCTGGTTCGTTTGACCATAAATGATCTATCAGCATTGTAATTAACAGATTTTTTTTGGCCACCTAAATATTCACTTTAAATTTTAAATTTTCAAAATATATTCCATATTCTTACTTGAGCATGAGAAAATATAGTGGCAGATACCAGCTTCATGTCGTCCTTATGTTTTTCTCTTAAAAGTGACACGCATTTGTCATAGGAGCCATGTAAGAATTGGCTTTCAACATCGTAATATTGTTTTAATAGATCTTGGACTGCCACCTTCATGCGCCCTCTGATACCGTTTCTGTATCTGTAATAAAAACAAGTTTTTAGTATTAAAAAAAAATCCAAAACAACGTCTAACCTTTGAACTAACTGCACAATCCCCTCAGTGGCCAAAAAGAACCCATCTCTGTCAGTCCTTTTATGCAGCATAGCTGCATGACTATCAATAACGCTGGCAATTTGTTGACTAGGAAATTGAGCCAAAACTGACGTAATATTTCTTTCATACAGTTGCATGAGCCTACGAATTTTCTTTTCAACCGCAATTGGAATACGACCAGATATTGAGGCCATAACTTCTTGGAGTTCTAGTAGAGGAAGGCTCGGGTCTCGGAGGGAGGACATAAATTTTTCGATGACCTATTCAAATGTATTCATGTAATTTTTTTTTAATAGGAGAAAAAAAAATTACCTCTCTTAATCTGGGAATGTTATAAGGGTCTGGTAAACAAAAGCCAGCCAAAGTATTATCCAACATCGATTTGTAACTAATATGAATATGATTTAATTTTTCTGGACAATTTTGTGCAAAAGTATCCATTTCTGGGAAGGGTCCTTTATAGAGCACAGCCTTAGTAACCAAACTAGGATCGTCCAATTCTAAATTGGCTATGATAGAACCGCCATCTAAAACAGCCCCAGGTCTTTTGGCATAATTTAAAATGCCAGCTTCTCCTGACGTTAGAGTCATAACCATCTTCATAACTTCGATTTCAGCATAAGGTTGACCTCTATTTACGTGGCCACCATCTTCAATCAAGAAACTAATTAATTTTCCTGCGGATGGGGATCTCAAAATAGTAGGGTCGTTTTCTTTTTCAAAAACACAGGTTTGGTTGCCTATTACTATACGATAGCTGTCCACTTCTTCTCTCATGTAGGTGGTAAATGAGGAACCATCGATTGATAATAGTATTCCACCGTCGTTAAGGCGATGGACTTCAATTTCTTTGAAAGTTCCATTCATTTGTAAAAAGTAGGTATTTGGTCCACTTTTCGCAACTTGAACTTTATATTTGTTTCCACTATTAATTAATTCAACATCAACTATATTGGTAAGAGTATTTGAGCCTTGTATTTGACCTTTTTCTAGGGAACTTATGAATTCTTGGAAAGCTGTTTCTATTGTTTTGTCTGCTATGTGAAGAGCTCCACAAACAACTGCTAGCATAACATTGGGTTTTTCCGACTGCACCTTTTCCTGGATTAGGATATCTAGCCAAGCAGTATCGATGGTATTCTCCTGAAAATCTTTAGTCTCCAATAATGTGATCAGGTACTCTACTGTAGTCCTAAAATCTCCTCTAATTGACAATTCCTTAAGGGCAATGACCAAATTTTCTCTGGCCTGTTCTCTGTTTTCACCCCAAGAAAAACAATGTCCGAACTGAGAGTCTGCAAACTCGTGAAGCCCTCCAGAGGCGGCTACTGAAAAGTACCCCCAAACGTTTTTTGATGAACGGAAGTTTAGTTCTTGGACTGTTCCAGAGCTTGGTTTGAAACCTACAAGGAAATACTGATATAAGTTTTGTTTGAATTTTTTTTTTTTTAATATACCTTCGTCAGGGTTTTCTGAAGTAATTCTTGCAGCGATAACATGCCCCCAAGGTTGCGGTTTATGATTGGGAATATCAAAGTCGATTTCTGTTGTACCCCATGGAGATTCCCCATATAATAATCTATCAAATTTTTTTTTTTTTTTTGGGGTCTAAAAATAACCATTCAAACGTACCTAATGTCCTTAATATAGTGAAGAGGTAGCCCCATAGCGATTTGCAATTGAGCAGCCGGAAGGTTGACATCGGAAACCATTTCTGTGCAAGGATGTTCGACTTGCAACCGAGGATTTAATTCCAAAAAGTAGTAGTTTCCAGAAGTTTCATATAGGTATTCTACAGTACCAGCAGAGACGTATCCTACCATTTTTGCTAGACGAACAGCTGCCTAAAAAATATATTATTATTAGTTACAAAGTGGTTATGGTAAGTTGTTTGGGTTGTAACCACAAACTCAGTCAATGCAATATGCAATCATTTTTATTTTAGGAAGTTGTGTATTGAAAATACTAATTAAGGCGATGAATACTATACTGAATATGGTATTTATAAAGCAAACAACTGAACTTGGCAAGTGATGTTGAGTTCAGACTGTGTACGCAAAAACAAAATAAACAGCAATTTGGACAAAATAAACTGAAAAATAACATAAATAATTCAACAAAATTATACCTTTTCCATTTCTTCGAAAACTTCAGGACTCGCTATCGAAGCAGGAGCTTCCTCAATAATCTTCTGATGCCTTCTCTGTATAGAACAATCTCTGCCGAAAAGCGAAATAGCATTTCCATAGTTATCGGCCAACAATTGCACTTCCAAGTGCCGGGCACCACGTGCCAGTTTCATCACGAAAATCGGTGAACCGGGAATTTCAGTTTGTACCTGCCTGAAGGCGGCAGCAAATTCGTCAGGCTGTTCGACTTTTCTAATTCCTTTACCTCCACCACCTTCTGAAGCTTTAATCATGACAGGAAATCCAATTTTATGTGCAGCCGCCAGACCTTCTTCTGCTGTTGTGACACAGCCTTTTGCAAAGAGGTCCGAAGAAATTTTGATTTTTTTGCCAGAGTATTGTGCTTTAAGGCCTCCGCCCGACCACGGCAAAGTTGGTACATCGGCTGTTTGAGCAACTATTGACGATGCGATTTTATCTCCAAGAGCCCACATAGCTTTTTCTGAAGGTCCTATAAAAATAATTCCATTTTTGTGCAATAATTCTGGAAGTTTAGGGTTTTCAGAGGCATGACCCCAACCAGCCCAAACAGCCTGAACTTGCGTTCTAACAGCGATATCCACAATAAGCTCTACATTGGCATAGTTGTTATTGTTAGTACCCCCAGGCACTGGTACATAGTGATCGGCCATTTTTATGTATTCGGCGTTGGCTTTTAGGTCTTCGGGGGTTACCATTACAACAAAACGAATGGCTCGTTCGTTTTTGAACATTTCATAGGACCAACGTCGTACTGATCTCATACATTTTACTGCTGCTATACCGTTATTGGCTATGAGAACCTGAAGAGGTCAGACATTAATATTTGAAAAAAAATTGAAAAACTTGATTATTTTACTTTATTTATAACTTTCGTTCCGTTGAATCTTTTGACAAATTCCTCAGGGGTGGCGACTGTGAAATCTTTTTCTTGCAGCCTGTTGTTGTGGAGCATAACAGTCCCTTGGGACATGGAGGGCCTATAAAATTATACATTTTGAATAGTTTCTTACAATGATTAAAATAAAATACTACAAAATGGTGTGATGTCTCAAAAATATTAAGTCGAGTATTGTTATTAGGTAGGTATTCTTTATTTTAAAAACAAAAAATGAGATAAAAGCATTACAGGGATTAAATTTAATATTTATTTCAGGTTGAACCATAACAGACTATTTCTAGTCTGGTAATAATTTATTATACCTACTAATTAATATGGAATTAAATACTGGCAAGGATTAATCCGACTGGCAACTAAAAAAATGCCTAGAATCATTCTAATACAGCTATATAAAGCCACTTGCGGGCCAAGTCATATTTATATAAAGATCCTTACCAACCATAAAATGTATTTTCACCTAAACATAATGAGAACCACAAATTCTAAATATTTTCGTTAATTTTATTATTTATATTTTTGGAATCTAACCTTCTGTCATAAATTCGTTGACACATGTCCATTTCGTTTTTGTTTCCTGTCATTATTTACTTCAAGAAAAAGAATGTTCAGTTTTTATATTACGTTTATTTCTAATTGAATTTTAAATTACCACTGAATGGTACTAAACCAAAATAAAGTTGAAATTTTCAGTTTTGGAATGCACTCAAAAAGTTCTCTATTACACCTGATAAATTTTGAATTGTTCATCAATAGTTTACACTAATACAAATGAAAAAAATAACACAAACATATCACATGAAACCAAAAACGAACTTGACTTCTCAAAAATCACTACGAAAATACGTTGCCGGGCCTTGGCACACTCTCGGAAATGAAGCTGAACGAAAACTTATACTAAACCTAAAAATAACTTTAACATGTCCACCACCACTTGTTAATAATTGATGCGTATACTCGCGCCCAAACTTTTCGATTTCTTTGCTGACGTAATTGTTTGGCCCACCTGTTTTAAGACGACACACGAAATTGAGATAACTAGGTCAAGAAAGGCACAAATTTATGGCTTGTTTTGTTACTTGTATAAGAGAAGTGATTGGGAAACTTTTTGATGATTAATATTCATAAAGTTCAAATCATCTAATCCTATATGTGTGATAATGCTAGATGGATAACTCAAATTCATTTACCAAAAAAGTCATGCAAACTAAAAGTCAGGGGATTTCTACTAGGTCTAAGTAGCCTTTAAGTCTTATGCTTCAAGTCCTTTATTTCAATTTCTTTGTGTCATAAGTTCTCAGATACACACACAGCAAATTATAACTATCATAAGAGACTATAAAAATATTTTATTTCAGTCTTATGGGACTCATTTCTAGATCTGAACAGCAACAGCGTGAGGTAGACTCTTTAAAAAAATCTATGGATCGTAGAAGAACGGAAAATGAAGGTATTAGGGTAGAAGTAAAAGATCTTAAGAATGAGATCCAAGTAGTGGACAAAAAAATTCCAGGAACTAGCTATGCCGAGGCACTAAAAAATCTGGAACAAAGAGTAGATACCATAAAAAAAACTCCAGAGGTAAAAGTTGGTGAATCTGGGGTTGAGATCACTCTGTTTGAGATTAAAGAAAGAGAACGACGAGCTGGCAACATCCTTTTTTTTTTGGCGTGGATGAGTAAAAAAAAACCAATTTAGATGAGAAGATGAATGATGAGAAAGACACTATAAGTAGATTGTACAATCAGATGAATCTGGGCTTGCCAGAGACCGCTAAAATGTTCAGGCTAGGTAGCGAGACAGCTGGAAAAAAAAGACCAATAAAGGTAATTTTGTCAAATAGATACGAAGCATTAAAAGCCCTCAAAAATAGGAAAATTCTTGAACAGAATGTATCAAGGCTGACCAAACAGAAAATCAAAGAAAATACCTAAAGCAAGTACTTATAGAACTAGAAAAGCAAAAGAGTGAAGGAAAAGAAAATGTCATCATTAAGTACATTAATGGGATACCGAGGGTCATTGAAAAAAATGAAAAAAACTAATAGGCACAGAGGTAGTTGAAATCTCTTTTTGGTACAGCAACCTTTCATCAGTGGTAAATAAAATAGATGAGTGGAAAGTAAGGGTATTGGCTCATAGTCCAACAATAGTTATGCTTACCGAAACCTAGTTACGAGATGGGATTGATGACAGCATAATATGTCTAGATGGCTACAGCATTTTTCGAGAAGATCGACCAAATCAAAAAGGGGGCGGAGCATGTATTTTTGTTAAAAATCAAATAGATGGGCATAACCTAAGTTGCATCCTTGCTCAAAACCACCCGACAGATGCACCTGTTGATGCTGTATGGCTAGATGTACGCATAGACAAGTTAAAAATTATAGTTGCCTGTATCTACAGACCTGGAAACACCACTATTGAGCAAGCCAATACCCAGCTGACAAATACAATATGCAATGCATTTACCACAAAAATTCCAACATTCGTTTTCGGAGACTTCAACTACCCAAACATAAACAGGGAAAACTTAACTGTAACCCCAGCCGACAAAAAAACACAAGATTTTGTAGACATGTATTGTGATAGCAACATTCATCAACTTATCAAATTTGCAACACGATATAGGAACGATCAGAGCTCATTGTTGGATTTGTTTTTATGCAGTGATCCTAAAAGTGTATTTGACCTTAAATCTGAAGCACCTATAGGGCGTAGTGAACATGTCATAATCACCGCAAAAACACAATTAAAACTCCCACCCAAACCAACAAAAAAAGTGTTGAAAAGAAACTTTCAGAGACAGTTTTGAATGAAGCAGTTAGGATGCATATTCCATTGAGGTCTACAAAAATGAACCAGCAAAAGCCATGGATAACCCAAAATCTATTTAGAGAAATTGATAGAAAGCGTAAATTGTGGGATGAATACAGAAAAAACAGAACAGAAGAGAACTACCAGGCCTACATGTTACAAAACAATGCTCTTAAACAAAAGCTCGAAGAAGCTAGAAAAACATATGAACATGATCTAGTAAAATCAGATTCACCTAAAAGAATATACGAGTATTTAAGCAGAAACCTAAACTGTAAGGTGACTACAATTACACTCAAGGACCCTATTACGCAAGATATCTTAGACTCTAAATCCATGGCAGAAAAATTTGCTGAACAATTTAACAAATCCTTCACTCCACGTCAAAATCGCCCCCTTCCTCAACTTCCTGTGAGTACCAGAGTACAGAACGCGATTAGCACTGTGCAGTTCACAGAAGAAAAGGTCAAAGAAACTTTAAAAAACATGAAAAAAAACTCAAGTCCTGGACCAGATGGTTTTCCAACAATATGGCTACAGAACTGCAGTGATTCAGTTGGTTAACGACTCGCGGATGCTATGCAGGAGTGTATGGAGCTAGGAATAGTACCAGAGCAGTGGAAGCTGTCAATTGTTACTCCACTTTTTAAGAAAGGCAACAGACATCAGCCGGAAAACTACCGTCCAATTAGCCTAACCTGTAACCCATTGAAATGTATGGAGAAAATAATGGTAAAAGAAGTAACAAATTTCTTTTTTGAAAATAACTTAATACCATTGTCTCAACATGGGTTTCTCTCACGTTCAACCTCAACAAACCTATTAGAATGTTTGAATGATTGGACGGAATACCATGATAACTCCCAGCCGACAGATATAATTTACATGGACTATGAGAAGGCCTTTGACAAAGTCCCACATGACTTGTTGCTTGGAAAGTTGGAACATTATGGAGTCCGAGGGCGGCTTTTGTCTTTGATAGCTGATCTACTGGATGAACGATACTATCAAGTAAGAGTAAATGGAGAAATGTCAAGCAAACATTTAGTTAGTAGCGGAGTTGTGCAGGGCTCAGTGCTTGGACCGCTGCTCTTTACTTCCTATCTCTTTGATCTTGTTAACCACATAGATACAAAAATGAAAAATTTTGCTGATGATGGCAAACTCTATGCAAACCCAATACTCAGTGCAGTACTACTTCAAGAAGACTTAAGAAAAGTTGAAGAGTGGTCTAGATTGTGGGGAATGAAGCTGAATGAGTCAAAATGCACAGTACTAAGAATTGGCCCAAATAACCCAAACCAGGACTACTCTTTAAATAACACTATTATGTCGACTGTGGCAGAGCAAAACGATCTTGGAGTCATTGTCACATCAGACCTCAAATGGGAAAGCCACATTTTGAAAATAGCCAAAAAAGCGAACTCTTTTGTCTATCTTATTATAATATATAATAATAATATAATAATATAATAACTTTATTTAAAACTGTTTGATTAGGTACATAACAATAAAATACTCCTAAGTCTAATGTCGAAAACAGTCCAAGCAACATGCATTTAGAAATCACTCAATCGAAATGATAACTAAGTTATACAAAAGTTACATTAGGCCAAAACTGGAGTATACATTCACAGTGTGGAACCCTTACTATATCAAGGATATTGAGATGCTGGAAAAAATTCAAAGAAGAGTAACAAAGATACCACCAGAAATGCAAAATCTACCATACTCTGAAAGGTTAACAAGGTTTCAGATAACAACTCTAAAAGAAAGAAGGTATAGAGGGGACTTAATAGAAACTTTTAAGATTACAAGTGGATATTATAACTGTGCCATTGAAAATATCTTCCATCAAAATCAAAATCAGCAACTTCGAGGACATTCCAAAAAACTAGACAAAGAAAAAGCTGCAAAACTACAACGTAAAAATTACTTTACTAATAGGATTGTTTACTCGTGGAATACTTTATCAGAAAACACAGTAACGGCTCCTACCATAAACGCGTTTAAAAACCGATTAGACAAAGAGCTAAAAAATAGTGCAGCAAGAATGATACATTATAGTGCATAAAACCTGAACAATATCTCTACAGACAAAACGATAGCTTCATCGGTTTTACCGCCTGCTATTGGAGGCAGGATTACAGGATTACAGCAACATATCTAACAACAGCTCTAGAATCATGGTAGTTAGTTTTCCGACTCTTTTGAAAATTTTTAATACAATATTGACACAATTTTTCATAATATTTATCACAGAACATTTTATGAACGAATAGCTAAAATACTTACTTTAGCCCTTTTCTAGGTACAGAAACTGACAGCTTGTTTTCCTCGTGTACGTGCATCCAGCCAGGTTTCTTCTCTACATTAGGACTCTCTGTGACAGTAACATCAGGAGGATTAGGAGATGGCAATTCATCTTCGCCATCCCCAATAACGAATCGTTTACTATTTCTCCTTCCAAAACACTTTTTATTCATTTTTTGCGGATAAAAGTTGAAATTTGGGCTAAAGGCGGTTGGATCTGGGCTAGATGGAGAAGTCGCTGCTGTTGCTGCGTCTCCCACCTCACTATTATTATTGTTGTGGAGTTTATCTGTAGATCTGACAGTTTCTTCTACGATTGTAGCACAGCCATTGATTGTTTTACAGTCAAAATTATTTTGTACTTGGAACAAAAATGTTTGTTCGTTTACTTGAATGGATTCCGAACCAGAAAAATTATCTTCTAGTTTATTGGGAACTGGACTAACGATTTCTTGATTTTTTAGTTTGTTATCCACTTGCAAAGAATTTTTTTTAGTTTTGGCCTTCGGATGTTTGTTTTTAAAACTTTTATTTATTTTTGGTACGAACTTTAAACTATCCGGTCTTTTTAATTTAGTGTTATTAACGTCATCAAAATCATCACTTTTTGTCACTTTTTCACTACTTTGTCCTTTGTTTTCTTCAGTATTATTGCCTTCCACCTTTGTAAACTTAATGGACCGTAACAAATAATTAGCAAAACTTTGTACAAAATTAAATAAGAAACCGAAAACCAACACCACCTTATCGACGACCTCGAGCATACGCTAGCGGGCTTGTACTGCAGTCTCAAAAATACCAAACGATTATGTAAATAATACTAGCATAAAAGCTCGTTCAAAAACTCGTTTTTCATGTATTTACTAGTCATTAGAAAGTAATTATTTTTCGAGTAGAAGTTTAATTCCCAATTCAATTAGGTAGGTACCTACAAAATATTTGGCGATTAGGTTTTATTGGAAATTTATTTACGGCATCAAAATATTGTTTGTTTTTTTCACTATATCAATAACGCGTGTGGCTAAATTCAGCTGGTGTAGGCACCATGGTGGAATGGTAAAACAAGCAGTGTTGTTAAATCAAACGGGGTTTGACAAGCTGTGGTTTCCCATTAGCATTAGTGAATTTTAATCACCGCATCCGTGGCGGTGCACCATTTTGGTGAATTTAGCAACACGCGGTAGTGGTAAATTTTACAGCAACAATTTCCATAATTTGAAAAGCAGTTGGATGAATAATTGTCGTAACAACTATTTTAAGCAATGGTAATCTGTGTGTAGGTATAATTCTAACATTTCTAACGTAGGTATCATGTTCTCAGATAAATTGAAACTAAAAATGTTTCTGGCCTGTCTCGAGAGTGCTTAAAAAATCACCTTTTTCAATAATATTCCTCAAAGTTGGAATCTTTACATATTGAATAAAATTTTCTAGTCACAAAAATAATTGACTCACACATTGAACAACACAGTAGAAAAATATATAATTAACGTGTAACCAATGTTAATAAAGTACCAATGTAATGCAATTTAATTATTGTTTGCCTTATTTGCTCTATTATTTTAACATCGTAGGTCAACTTTTACATGACAAAAAGATAATTAGAAAATGTATCGAATCTATCGTTTGTTGAGACCATCAGTAAACTGGTGCAGCCCAAGATCTTTCAAATCGGAGACAGTGTGGCCATCAATGATCAAAGGTGAACTAGAAATTGAATTTTCTCAAGTTAAACACAGAAGTAAAACTTTAACTACTGCTAATGAACTAGCCCAATCTTTAAATCGTTCCCTTGGTAGTTTTTTTGAGTAGATGCCCAAACAGTTAGGTACATACCAAAAAAACCTTAGTGGTCAACAATGATATTTTTTTAAATGCTATGTAAATTTACTATTTTTTTTTTTTTGCTTTAATTGACTTGGTACTTTAACCTTTGGTTTAATCAACGTCAAAGCTAGTTAATTAATATGTAGGTATAAGGTTGGCGAGGAATCCATATACAGAGTGTTCGGCATATGATAATTGCTCTTTGCAGGGATCTTAAAACAAGGAAAAACTTGAGAATTGTTACTGAGCTTATATTAGTAATAAATAGGCTTTGAATTTATAATTTGTTTGTCATTTCTGATATATAGAAATAAACTTGAACCTGTAGATGAGGACTATTGAACCCCTCTGCGCTTAAAATGTAAGTATAAAGAGTAAACCTTGAGACAATCAAGGACTACTCGGGTAGATTGGTGGCTTTTTAAAACTAAACTATCCTTCATTTCAACAAAGATTAGTGAAGCTTTAGTGTGATTTCGATAAGGAAGTACTTAGGTGTTTGTGAAATTTAAATTTAAATTCCTTTTTATTCGTATAATAATAGAGCAGTTAAAAATAGTTGCTGCGAATCTCTAGATGCCATCAAACGTTCAAATTATTATGTAGCTAGTTTGGTTAAATAATCAATGCATCTATATCTGAATAAATCAAACTAAGACACAGGAAATAAACCAGATAAAACACAATACCGCCCAGATTAGAATGGTAAGCTTAATGTGCAAAATGTATAGAAAATGTATGTAATTATTAAATTTTGTATACCTAATCTACAATGTTTACATTTCAAATTATTGTAGACCAAAGTGTAATGGAAAGTGATTTGGTCTACAAACAACACAAACACTTTTCAGTATTTTGTTGCTGTAAAACTCAACCTAAAACCCCCTGAATATTTAATTATTAATAATATTCCAATTAAAATAATTCAAAAACTTTCACACAAACAATTTTTTGATGCCTTTTCTCTCGATTAAATTGAAATTAATTCGTGAAATAAACTCACCATTTTATCACTCGATGTAATTTCTAATCGACAACTCAATAACTGAATTGTAATTTGATTCAAGTTTGGCCAAATTTAGTCGAAAAACAAAGGAACGTGCAGCCAAATAAACGAGCATCGATTAAATTCGGCGACACAAATAACGCGAACTCGTATGATCGGAGGGCGACGGCGCGAATCCTTTAGAATGGGACAGAATACACCGTCTACGCTCAACTCAACTAGACTGGGTTTCGTTGTTTATTCATTCATTGAAATCAAATCAATCTACAGGTGGTTATCAAGTAATAGTAGGGATATTACAGAACGGGTCCTGGAAAATTGCGCTGGGGCTTTGGTATAAGGAAGTACATATTTTTATTCACTCTACATGGAAGTTACAAATAATTGCTTCCTGGTTTCAAAAATTAACAGAATACAGATTTTTAGGTGAAGGAAAATCAACGTTTAAGATGTTTGTGTGCATCAAGCCACTCTCGAAGCCACTGTTTGATAATGTTCAAGTCACAAGTCATTTTTTGTTGCAAAATCTCCAAAGAATCATCAAAATAAACATGGTGTCATTCGCATTCGCATACAGTCTACGAGCGCCAGATAGATTGAGCTTGGAGATTGAAGATGGTAGGCCCCAAAATGGAGCCCTGCGGGAAGCCACATTTAATACTTTTTTCTGAGCTTTTAGTATCTTCCAAAAACACAAACTGTCCCCGCTCTCACAGGTAACTAGAAAGCCAACCATAAGTCTTCCACGATATTCCAAGTTTTCGCAGCTTAAGAAGAAATATCTTTCATTATTCAGATTTTTTTGTATATCGCTTACTAGATCCACTTTTGCCGCAGCTGTGTCACTAAACTCCTGGAAGCCATATTGACACAAGTACAGAAAGCTGAGAGCTCTCAATCCTCTCCATAATTTTTGACAATACGGGTAGCACACTTATAGGTCTATAATTTTTTGGATTCTCTTTATCACCTGATTTGAAGAGCGGCGAAACTTTGGCCACTTTCATTGATTTAGGCACAATACCACTAGTAAAGAACTGATTAAACAACTTACTCAGCAAACTACTCAACTCAAATCTGCACTGTTTAACAGTCTTCTTAATGTCTATGTCATCGAAACCTGATGCCTTGTCTGGGTCCAGACCATTAACATTCAAAACTTCTGAGAAGTTGGCCTCCATCAAACACCATTCACCTTGTCATGATTCCTCTTTGTTAAGATCCATTGTTGAAGGTTTGATTTTTGATGCCAAAGATGCTGCCACGCTGATAAAGTAATCATTCCTGCTCTCGCAAATGTCAGCAGCATTGACAAAACTTTGATTTCCAACTTTTAATGATGTTATGTTTCTATTAGAACTCGTATTTTTATTGGAGATAATTTGGTTTATCACTTTCCTTTCTTTCTTAGCATTTCCTCTAACTCTTCCAAATTCAGCTTCATAGAAGTCCTTGTTTGCTGTAGCGATAACCCTTTTCAGTTTTTTTTGGGAGTCAATGCATTTATTTTTCAAGTGGACATTGTCTGGATATTGCCTACTTTTTCTATAGTAATACCTAGTCATTGGAAGTAATGGCCATTTTTACATCAGGGGGTGAACAATGGTTTGTTTTTTTTATTTATCTTGATTTGTTTTAGCGTGTATACTGTATTTCTTTTAAAACAAGTGACAATAGCTTCGTAATTATCATCCACGCTTTTACTAATATCATAGATTTTGTTCAAGGAATCAGGATCTCCTCGAATTTTTGGGATATTGAGTGTTTTTTTTTTATGCAGACCTTTAGCGCTACTGCGGAGTGCTTCTTAGACAAGACGATATCTTTGTACTTTTAGCTTTGTTAGTAAATCGATATTTAGATCACCGAGTAAGATAAGGTTTTGATTTTTAAGGACATGTAGCTCATTCTGCAATATGCTCAATGTGTCATTCACATTATTTTTACTGTTTGAAGGATTGTAGATTGCTGCTGTATGGAGACGGACATCTTCCAGGTAGATCTGAAGGTAGTTTATATTATTTGATTCATAGTTCCTTAAGACATTGAATTTTAGATCACTTTTACAGAAAATTGCACATCCTCCGCCTCTTTTAGTTCGGGATGCGTATGTTACTTCATAGTTGGGAAGATTGTAAAACTTTGCTTTCTGAGACGTTACCCATGTTTCACTCACCACAATAACATGAACGTCCCCCTCAATTTGAGCCAGGTGTGCTTCTATAGAGTCGTAGTTTTCTTTAAAACAGATCTCGCATTCAAATACAGAATATTGAAGTTTTGTTTTCGATGTTTTAAGTAAGATGACAAGTTCATGAGACTACACTAAGATGTGTTGATGTGCGTTTTAATTATCTGTTGATCCATCAAGGTCAATGAGTCGAACTTTGCTTTCGATACTCACTGCCTTGTGCTTCAGGCTTTCTACCTGTTCACAGTTTTCAATACGTATGACCTTTGACGAATCCGACTGTCGACAAAAGACCTTTTCATCCCTAACCCAGGCATACTTAAAGTTGGTATATTTCAACATTCTAGCTGTGTTGTGAAGCGTCCTGAGATTTTTTGGTAGATCTTCATTAACAAGTACTGGCCGTTCATCACCAGGAAGTCCCAACTGAGTGGATGTTATTTTTCTTTTTGCTTTTCGACTCGCCAATATTTCATCCCATTTTGTCTTTGAGGATAGTTTAGCCAGAATTGGTTTGAAAGGCATTTTACTGGGCAGGGTTTTCACTATGTATTCACCCAGAATGCATTACTTTGAAATTTTCTAACATAAATACAGGGAGTCCAAGACTCATTTTATATCAATTATGTTCTTCTAAAGCGTTTAAAACCTAGGCCAATTCAATATATTTTTTCAACTTTATCGAGTAAAAAGTCTCTCTGGATAATTCGTTAAATGTTCAAATGGAAACCAATAACATTCATTTTAACTTCTTATTGCTTTACTTTCATAAAAATGTGAAATGGATTTAGTGAAGATAAACTAGAAAAAATGGAAGTTTTTGAACAAAAAAAAGCATTAGCATATATTATGGAGACTGGTTATTTGATAACTCTCCAGATGAAGAAGAATATACTGAAATTGAAAATAGAAGTGAAAACTTGTGAGCAGTCCCAGCAGTTTTTCCAATTTGTGAGTTTTTGGGAACTTATCTTGAAACACTTGTTGATGCTTGAAACAGAAAAACTTAGAGGAAATCAATTGTGTTTTATCAATTAGGTACAAAAAGTTTAACAAAAAATAACTAAAATCGAAAATAGGTTTTTGTGTGGAAAAACCAAACAAAAAACTCTTGCTTAATTAAGAAACAAGTCAATTAAATTCAGGTAATCACTGGATCATTATAGGTACCGGTTTTGTAAAGCAATAAATTAAATGGCGTCCTCGTACATACACTGTAGACTTTGAATTATTTTTCTGAGAAAAGAGTGTGAGTTTGTCAACGATACATTATTTTGCGATCGACATAAAATTTGACCAACAAATGAACTTCAAATCATCAAACTGAGTGACAAAGGATGAAACTTTACACTTTGTAATATGTAAGTGAACCATTTTATAAATTTACATTTCACAAATTAATAACATTAACACGATACTCTCTAGCTTTAGTATTATAATTGGGACTGAGAATTTGGAGGTACCTACTTAAAATTGTTTGGATTTTTGGTTAGTGATAACAGTGATTTTATCAATTTAAATTGACTATCTAATAAGAATAAGATTCATTTCGGAAAATCGAATGAGTAATTCCAAAAAATTAATGTTTAATATGTGGGATATGTTCATACCAACATTCACATCACCACAATAAACGTTTTCATACCAGATTTGCGTTGTCTTCTAGAGTTAAACCTTAGAGGTCTTATGCTGAGTAAAATTGTTCCAAAAACTTCTTCTTCTGTTATAAGTAGTCTTGAGTCACTACTCATCAATGTATAATTTATAGTCCTTGAAGAAACCTAATAAAAGGGCCAATATTCAGCATCATGGGGATTTTGCTCCATTATGAAATACATTTTACGTTGAATCGGACATACATTATTGTGGTATTTGATCATCATTAAATAAAATCGAGACATCTCACCATTATGCATAATATTCTATATTATGTTAGTGTCTATGAGCCTTGTCCAACAAAGAGTTCCTCAAAATGGTCAGAAATAGTTTACAAAATTTGTTCTAGGTGACTCCAATTGATTAATCATTAGATGAATAATCACTCTAGAACAACTAGATTCCTTAAAACATTTTCTGACATGCTTTTCTAACCAAAACTGATTTCTGATTCATGTTAAAGAAGACTTTATACAAGATAATTATTGTGCTGTAGGTACTTACTTTAATCTTTTTCTTCTCTCCATAAGTGCGATTTGATCCGATGCTGACAGGTTGGCGAGACCACCCTGTCCCATCGAACGAGACGGTGGTGGCATGCTCTCAGTTTCGTCGCCATTTTCAGGAAAATCATCATAGGATTCGTCTCCTGGAAAAAATTAGCCCCTTTAAGATCGGTCGAAAAACATTATCTCTTAACATACCTACAATCCAATGAGCGCCGTGCTCACCATTTTCGGCTTTTTGGTCTGTCATTTCGATTATTCCTATTCAATTTTGATTAAATTGTTTTTATTCTTCCTTAATTGCATCAAGAGGCTTACCGTCTTCGTTTTCAGTTTTTTGATTGCCTTCGGTTTGTTGCTCAACGGAATCTGGAAATAAACAACAATAGGTTAGGATCATGACACTATCAATATCAATCATAAAGTAAGGTGATCCACTTCACAAAAAGATTTTATCTAAGATATCGTTGCATTGGAGGTATTTCTAATCAACGTATTCCCATTAAAATAAGTTATTTTATAAATAGGTACTTCCAATTAGATAACAATTGAATAAAATGCAGCCTAAATAAATAATGAAATGATAATTAAAGAATTTGTTCAGCAATCTGATTAACAAAAAAATGCTTAATGCTTTGTAAACACATAAGATAAAACTATTGACATACATATTCTGGTGTCATAAAGAAGGAAACCACCTGCTGATTTCATTCATTTTGCGATGGTTTTATTTGATTTAATTCCGGAATTCCCTTATAAAAAATAGAATTTTCCAGCAGCTACGAAACTTCTCATTGTTTTCGGTTGATCTAGTACCTAATGGCAATTAAGCATTTTGAGAAAATGGAATTGTGATTTAATTAACTTTTAAGCATATTATAGTGCATATTCTGTTAGCCTAAAAAACCTTTCTCTTAATGCTTTTCTATTTTCCAATAAGGTATATTTAATGGTCTCAATTTGTTCCAATTATTGGCATTGGCATTTCAAATTATATTACTGATTGTAATTTTGGTAAAAGAATCATAAATACAGGTTTGAAACACACTTTCAGTGATCGTTATAAATAAGTACCTATTGAAATATTTTTTGGTTCACTCAGTAAATTCAAATGTGACTTTGATTTGTCCGTAACGTTGACCTTATGCAAATATTTATCATGTTCGGATTCCTGAACTACGTAACACGAAATATTCCCGTGTCATCAGGTCACTCGTTTCATTTGTTGAGGTTTATGTAATTAGGTATGATGCTAGAATATCAAGTATTTACATTAATTTGTTTATGTAAGCATTGAATTTTATAAGAGTTGGCAAAAAGTAGCTTCAAATTTGCCACATACGGTCCAATTTTCTATGATTAAAACATCCAAATTACAGTTAACATTTTAAGGCTTTTGAGATTCTTGGTCCTGGTTTGTGATTTGTTTTCTGTTTATAAGTTCATTGAATATACTGACAAGAGATCCCACAATAAATATTTTCTCATTGTACAGGGAAATCCTTGTTTGTTAGGCATTTAAAATATTAATATTGTCACTGTTCTCATTATTTTGTTTATTTCTTCCTATTGCAGTTGAACTTTATTTTTTTATTAGTTGTGTATAGTGTTAATGATAAAATTATTCAATAAATAGTTTTGAACCCTTATGACTACGCTAAGTTTTCCCATTACTAGCGATCTTGTGCAATTTGATAGTTTTGATAGGTACTATGGTCCTGTTTTATGGCTTGCTAATTTCTTTTCTGCATATTTCTGGTCTGTTTGGAACATTCGTTTTGTTTTGGGTTACCTACCTACTTTTGGGCCAATTTTCATTAAAATTCAATTTTTCCTCTTCTTTCTCAGAGGAATTGTTTAACTGACTTTTAATGTCGAATCAATTTTACTTACCTTTCTTTGAATCACAATATCTCCCAAACACTGCCTCAATAAGGATACTTATAAATACAGCTGCGGTGGCAACAGCCGTAGCGACCAAAATAAATATCATTAAACTGTATAAAGAATATATTAGATTCGGTATACCGCACTAGTTATGTTAACCACTCAATCAAAAAGTCACGGCAATACTAAACTCCTCCAAATAATGCACGAAATATTGTATTATTAATTTGAATTAAATATCTTGTAGATAACCTTGACGTGATTTGACCATAATACCCTTGTGTGACTTTAAGTTGGCCAATTTATAGATCAGTTTATGTAACAATGTATTCTGATTGTTTTGGTTGAATTGATATCATTTTTCCTGGCCATGATTGAAGATAACAGCTGTTGAAGAATAGATTACTCAATCTAGCGAACATATAATCTTGACATAAAACTGTTTCAGATGAAAAATAAGATTGAAAACAAAACTGAAAATACATGCAGTGAACATTTATTATTATGGTCGTTCAAAGACGTGATGGTGATGAGATAAGACAACTGAAACGGGTGATGATAATAATGGAATAAGAATCTTGAGAAAAATCGTGCATCAAATTGTTTTTTAAAAAAAGTTCCCTATTTATAAAGGGATTATAAATAATATGTTTAAAGTTTAGACCTAAATATAAAGGGCAGTTAATCATGGAAGAATATTGCAAGGAAATACAACAATTTCTCCATATCCTCCTTGAATATCAGATATTTGATAGAAAATTTCTACAGAACTTTGTGTTGTGTCTTCAAATTTGTATGACATAATAGGTTTGTGTTAAGATTCATTTGTCCTTCAACTCAAGGTGGTCAGAGGCACATAAACATAATAAAAAGGTGACGGTCAGCGATTGAAGATTTTTTTTCTGAAGGTTGGAACCAAATTTGAAATTTCAGGATCTGATTACCCAGATTTCTTTGTTTACATACTTACCATCAAGTTACAAGTATCATATTTACAATAACCAGATGTGTTTATTTATCAATGTATAATAATTTTGTGAATTTTCTGAATTGACTTTACCTTATCACAACCGGTTAATCATATCACATCTAATTTATTCTTGAGTTTAATCTTAATTGGATTATTATTATTTAGCTATCACCAGGCGATTTATTAAACATGAAACTTAAAGTTTTTGAGACAAGAGAACCCTATTGATGCAGCAAAGTTTTACAGTCTGCGAAAACTAATACGAGAATAATAACTTATTGTTCTTGAGTTCTATTTGTTTCATTTTTTTTCAGTGATTGTAGGGAAAATATTATGGTAAGAAAAACATTAGGCGCCGGTACTTTTGTTCTCAGTTTTAGAATTTGACAGCAGTTAAAATAGTCAGGGGTTTGAATGTGCGCTAACCAGATCATACATACAGACCTTGTTAAATTTAATGAAGTATCAAATTCGTTAATCGAGATTGAAAGTATTGGCCCTTAAAGTACCTACTCAATTTTTGAAGGTAGTTTAGATTCATGGGTGTACTGCTTAAGATATCCCTAGATATCTTAATATACATAATATCAATTATGCAGTTCTACTCAGTAGTTGGACTTCAACCAAAAAATGGCTTGACTAAGTAATCAATTTTTGAAATTCAGGCATCAATACAATATCCCAAAAAAATATGCACTAGAAAATAAGTTGACACACAATATGTGTAAATAATACCTAAGTATTTGTCAGACTTTAGGCAGAGAAACAAAGAAATGATCCAAACGAAAGAAATCTACATTTGATTGGGAAATAGTCATCCGCATAGTAGTAAAGTTTTTACATCCTGTATGAAAATCCATATAAACACAACCATGTGGCATGTTCTGAAAGCGCCAATCCCATGATCTCGGTCAAATCTTCTGACATTGCCTAGCCAATGGGATTGCATAATGCGCGCCGATTGCCAAGGCATCTGCTGACCAAGGCTTGAACCATTGCATTTTGGTGTACAAACTAAATGTTCACTACCTCGAGTACTATGAAAAAGTAGATACTTCTTATTCAGATTCACAGTTCTCAACTTTTGTGTTTCAACTCAATGAAAAAATACTAATAATTCAATTTATTCATTATTGGACCCATTTTTTATTTTTTTATTTACAAATTATTATTACAGATTTTTGTTACTCTATTGTTTTAAATAAAGTTACAGTTGCAACACTTTCTCTGGAAAATAAATAGTATATCTATCCAGGTATTCTGTATTTCATAAATAACAAATATAAAAAAATATATAGGTATCACAGTTTTCGATTAGACCAGTACAGCAGAAAGCTGGAGC